GCCTTGCCAAGCATGGCAATTACTGTAATTATGTGTACACTGACATTACACATGCAAGTATGGCAGGAAATGGGCACTTTTTCTTAACCCTTTTCCCAGAAATACCAATTTTTCAGGAGTTCGTTTTTCACTTCACTTGTAACATGATTATAACTCGTTTCTTGTTGAGACAAGCTGCATACACGCAAGAAAACCTACACTACAAAAAAGGGTTCAACAATCCATAACAGCTCCAAAACAGCACCTTCAAAACACTCTAGATTTCCCTGAAGGCCTCCTTGGCAGCAGCAATGGTGAAGTCAATGTCCTCCTCTGTGTGGCACAGACCCGTGAAACCAGCCTCGTACTGCGAGGGAGCAAGGTAGACCCCGCGCTTGAGCATGGCGCGGTGGAAACGGCCGAACTTGGCTGTGTCCGACTGCTTGGCATCCGCAAAGCTGAACACGGGGCCCTTGGTGAAGAAGAATCCGAACATGCCGTTGATGTGCCCGCCACACACCTCGTGACCCGCCTCCCTGCAACCACCTCGCAATCACATCACATGGTAGAGGCAGACAGAAGAGTCAACACGGAGCGTCAAGGTAAATCATGAGTTGATGCTCCCCCAACCAATACCCAATCACACCCACCTCCAGTCACCAACTCACAGACTCAGCCTTTTCCAACGCTCAACTACAAACCCACACAGCAATCCCATGTTCGCACGCGCTATCCTCCTAGCCAGCCACGCACCTGGCAGCATCGAGCAGCCCGTTGATGAGGCGGCCAGTGACCTTGTCCAGGTACTCATACGTGCCGGGCTTCTGCAGGCGCTCCAGGGTCTTGATGCCCGCAGTCATGGCCAGGGGGTTGCCACTGAGCGTGCCCGCCTGGTACATGGGACCCGCTGGTGCCACCATCTCCATGATGTCACGGCGCCCGCCGTACGCCCCCACGGGGAGACCGCCACTGGAGAGAGGGAGGAGGGAGGGGCGACGAAGGATGGGATGGGTGGGGGTGTGTTGGTAAGGGAGGATGGAGAGGAGACGGGGGAGAGGGAAATGGAGGGAGAAGGTTGAGGCTGGTGGTGTGGGGTTGAGGCACGGGGGGCTGTGATGGAATGGGAGCCTGGTTCTCCAGTGCAGGGTACCAAAGGAAACAGGTCTGCTTGATGTGGAAACAGCTTTTCAGGCCTTCGTTTACGCTAAATGCAGCACTGAATCCGCGGAAAAAAAACTAGAGAAAAGGAAAGCGGAACTAGAGGGGCCAAAGATAGGCTACAGGGAGTGGAGAGAGGAGACAAGGGAGGGTGGTGATGTCGGGAAACGTGATCGTTCAAGTGATCGTTAAGAAGGAAAGACAAGCAGACGCAAGCAATCAAACAAGCGCACCCAATGATCTTGCCGAGGGTGGTGATGTCGGGCGTGATGCCCCAGTACTCCTGCGCGCCACCATAGGCGATGCGGAAGCCCGTCATGACCTCGTCGAACACCAGCAGCGCGCCCTCGTCCTTGGTGATCTGGCGCAGCCCCTCCAGGAACTCCCTGCCGCGATCAGACATGGCACCGCGGATGGAGAGCACAGTATGGTTAGTCGATTGATACGAGGGGGTACGGTATGGACACTGGTACCGATGCAGTGCATCAGCGTGAAATACGGAACTGTTATGCGTAGGCGGGAGTGATAGATGGCAGGGGGAGCGGACATGAGCAGTTACGCCAGTCAAGGGCACTGCATGCTTCATGCTGCATGCTGCCTGACAACGCGCGCTCTCTTGAAAGCGACGACTCACTTCTTGGGGACGATGAAGCCGGAGTTCCCGACGACGGGCTCCAGCACGACGGCCGCGATCTCGCCCTTGTTGTCCGCGAACAGCTGCACGCGCCGAGTGGGAGGCGAGGGAGTGTCAATACGAATCAAAGGTGAGACAGACAGCGTTCGGGACATGCCGATTTGGATTAAAAGGGCGGCAGAGGTTTCCAGGCTAGCCGAGGGCCGTAACTCCGCGAAGGGAGAATGATTTGGAAAAAGTAAAAAATCGTGTGAACCACAGTTAAATATATTTGACTCTCACACATCATTAACAGCACCACCAGCAGCAGAAGCACCAGCAGCACACACGAGCGGCATTCGGCGTACCTTCTTCACGGCGTCCAGGTCGTTGTAGGGAGCAACGAGCGTGGGAGCGGTGGCGGTCTTGGGAACACCGGGAGAGTCGGGCAGGCCCAGGGTGGCGACACCACTGCCGGCCTGGCGGGGAGCGAAGGACAAAAAACGAAAGATATAAGAATCACAGAAGTTAATTTCCGTTGCACTTTATAAACAGTCTACAAATGTGAGAATGACGGAAATTCGTTTCAACATAGGCATCGTAAGTTGCAGAGTCCACACTTCAAAAGCATTTGGGGATGCTAAAAAGTACAGGGCATCCATATCCGGTTAGTCCATACCGTTAACGAGATGCACAGGACAGAAAACCCTAAGCGCAGCTAACATCACACACCAAGGTCAAGGTCGGTACGATCCAACAGAGAACGATGGCGTACCTGGACGAGGAAGCTATCGGCGTGGCCGTGGTAGCAGCCGTCGAACTTAATGATCTTGTCGCGGCCGGTGAAGGCGCGCGCGAGGCGGAGCATGCCCATGCAGGCCTCAGTGCCGGAGTTGACGAAGCGCACCATCTCGATGCTGGGCACGGCGGCGATCACCATCTCCGCGAGCTCGTTCTCCAGCACGCACGGCGCGCCGAAGCTCGTGCCCTTCTTCAGAGCCTCCACGAGGGCAGCATTCACCTGATGGCGGGAAAGCGGAGGAGGATAGAGGCGCGATGACAAGAGGAGAGCGGCGACTCACGAATCGGCACTGACCTGACTGGATGGTGAATTGTGATGCATTGTTACGCACGAGAAACATGCTCTGCAAGTGAACTAGCCCGAGTAAGGTACCGAATTTTCTCAAATTGCTACATTCGGGAGGAAGGAGTGAAAACCACGCCTAAAAAAAGAACGGTAAAGAGATATGATTCAGTTCTACGGCGACACATCCTCTCTTCGATCAAGGCCAATCTTACCTCGTCGTCGGCGTGGCCGATGATGGCAGGGCCCCACGTGCCGACATAGTCCACATACTCGTTGCCGTCCACGTCCCACGCGTGCGAGCCCTTCACGCGGTCGAACACAATGGGCTGTCCGCCCACGGACTTGAACGCGCGCACGGGCGAGTTCACACCGCCGGGCAACAGCTCCTGCACACGCATCGCCATGAACAATCCAGGTAATTGGGAACACAAAAGGCATTTAGTGGTTAAGGAGAGAATTGACGATAATCAGCGGAAAAAAAAATCAAATTTGACAATTTCTCGTGTGATCGGTTCAGTGAGAAGAATTGGAAGAGGAAGCCCCCGTGACGAGATTATCCGATTTAGAAAACTCGATCATGTTGACGGACCTTGGCGGCCTTGAAGATCTCCTCGGACTTGGTGGTCACGAAGGTCTTCTCGGTTGCGACGGCCTTGCACTCAAGGCGGCCAGCGTCCTTCTTGCTGCTCATCTTCTGCGCGGGGCAGAGCTTCACTCCCTGGAACGCCTGGTTCGCGCTGCTCACGTCAGCCGCAGCGAGCTTGCCGACGGACAGGACCTGCGAGGTCGAGACGGCTGAGGCCATATTCGAATGCTAGGGCAATTCGAATAACGGAGAATGGAGGCCGAGAGAACTGACGCGTAGAGATAGGAGGCGCGGTGAAAATGGCGAATTGAAGAATTCGCCTAGCCGTTTAGGGGAGAGAGGCTTGGTTGAGGGAAAATTGGAATGACAAGGTGTGCGCGGAATTTCAAGACAGGGAACACAAGGGGGATGGGCGCAGGGGGGGAGTTCGCAAATACCTTGCGCGGAAGGCTTGCGGGTGGGATAGGGAAAGAAGTGGGGGAGGGCCACCATAGGGCGGGCGAAAGGCAGACAAGTGGAGAGTGTGGGGAAGCGGGAGGGCGGCAGCAGCTTGCGTGAAGAGATGAGGATTTCCCCTCTTGCCTTGAGATTGTACTGGCGGGGGAGCTGGCTTCCGGTCGGCTTGCGCATACGTCAACACTGGAAGGGTCCGATGATCCTATTCGCTGGGCTGATTCTGTTCCAAGATTACTGTCACTGCATTCCGCCTCGCAGGGTGTGACGTCAGATTTTGCTGGGAGCCACGGAGGCACATTTGCACTCCACGGAGGCAAGCTTTATGGGCACACGTGGCCTTATTATCTTGTACAAGGTTTCAGAGAAATAATCATGGTTCCGATCATACGAAACCTAAACAAATTGTTCACGAAGATGGTTAACGAGGTAGTCAATAACTTCCATTTGCTCCCTTAAAACCAGGGTGCACATTCAACGCGGTTCGGCTTGAGATGTTGGGAAGGGGGTTTGGAGAAAAACAGTGATTGGCTCACGAGGGGCGACAAAAAAATGATTCCGCTAGAGCTTCGGGCATTTCGTAGGTGGCGGGAGGGGGTCAAATGGCGGGAGTGGGTGAAACCGAATGGCGGGAGGGATGAAACAGATTGGCGGGAGGGGGGGGAAACGAAATTGCGGGGGAGGGGGGAAACAAAATTGCGGGGGAGGGGGGAAACGAATTTCGACGGGGAGGGGGAAATGAAATTGCGGGGGCGTGGGGAAACGAAATTGCGGGGGAGGGGGGAAACGAATTTCGACTTGAAGGGGTTGAAAGCACACCTCGTAACCCACTCAGTCAAGGGATAACCTTTGATGCACATTCAGCTGAATGTGCACCCCGGTTTTAACCCTAAACTTCAGAGCTAATTTATTCGGCAGTTTCAAGAGACAGCAGGCAGTTTCTTGGAATTTATTGTGCGCCAAACACATCGCAATACGGACCGCACAGTACACCAATATTCGCCGTGCGGGTAATCCGAGGATCTTAAGTCTCGCTGTCGTCAAGCTTTCGCCTCACCACACTTCCACGTGCTACGCAATCGCGGGCTTTCGCTGTTCACCTTTTCGCTGGCTCTCTAACCACAATGAGTGGTAGCCTGGGAACAGTTACCCACAGCAGCAACAGCAGCGTCGGCAGCGCGAAAAGCGGCGGGAGCGACGGCAACGCGAAAATAGCCAAGGTCGCTGGGTTGGGAAAGCGCGGAGGTCGTCAGTCGCAGCGCGAGGCGTTAATTCACCGGGAGCGCGGAGATGCCGCCGTGCATTGCGGGTGGGAGGATACGGCCGCTCCTCACGCTATGATGCCCGTGGATTTGCGCGAGGAAGGGAAGGAAGGTACGCCGATGGCGGGATAATTGTGGGTGGAGGCGTGGAGAGGCAAGAGATGGCTTTGTTTGCTTTCATTGTCACGAATTCGCGTTTTAAGGGTTCGCAAATCCGTTTGTTTCGATGATAGACGTCAACTCAAGCAACCTCTCTCACGTACAGGCACAAAATCACTGGTGGACAGCATTGGAGTAAACCTCCGTTTGTTCTCTAGTTGTGGATGAAGCTTGTTGGGTGGGTAACCGTCCTGCTGTGGGCTGGAACTGCCATCCTTCTAACTACCCTTCGTCTCCTTTCCAAACATCCTCTCTGCCCTTTCTCGCCACACCACTCTCGCCCCCTTGCTTACACACACACACACTTTCAGCCGCTGCACTCGCATCTCTCCCCTCCTCCTTCCAGCCGCTAAACCAGTCCACGTCATCGTCCGTTTCTGTCCAAGTAGACCCGCCTGCACACGTCAACGCCGCCGCCACGTCACCATTCCATCAATCGTCGCTGGCAACTGCTGCTGTATGTCCTGTACCAGCCGCCCATAACAGCTCATTGAGGCCATGGATCCCAGAGACGGGGAGCGGTGCTAGTGGTAATGGTAATGGTGGTGTTGCTGCTGCTGCTGCTGTTTCTGCGAGTAGCATTCCCCTTCACCCCTTTCATTCGTCGTCATGGGAGATCGAGCCCTGCATCTCCGTGCATGAACCTGCTGGTAGCAGCAGCAACTGCAGCAGCACCACCACCCATGCGCACGAGACACATTCACGTGGCATCATCACCCATACACATGCCAACAACATCCATCCACAGTCACAGTCACGTGCATGGCCATGGGCATGGGCGCACCGAGGTGCATGGCTCTCTCCCTGGGCCCTCCCCTGGTCTCTCCCTGCTGATGCTGTGCGATGGTACCAGCAGAGCGTTGCTGATCTGGGATCAACCTTGGGCTTGGATTGGCATCCAGGGGGGCACATGAGGGGGATTGGCGCAGGGGGGCTGGCGGGGGGAAGGGCCAGGGGGCGGGTGGTGCGCGGTAGAGGAAACGGAGAAGCAGGAGGGAGGTTGCTGCGGCGGCTGAGACAAGCATGGAGGAGGGGGTTGGGGAGATGGGGGTGGTGGGGATGGCATGCAGAGAGTAGCCTGGATGGGAGCATCAACAGTGGGACGACGAACCATGGGACCACTACCGGCAGTGCATGCAGCAGCAGCAACAGCAGCAGCGGCAGCACCAGGAGCCGAGGCAGCGGCAGGAGCAGCGGCAGCAGCAGCAGTTTCATCATCGTCAGCGGCAACAGCGGAGGAGGAGGAGGAGGAGGGGAAGGAGGAGGGGTGGAGGGAGAGGGAAGGAGTGGTGGAGGGAGGAGGAAGCAGCAGTGGATGGTGCCGGGGCTGGGCCTGCCGTTGACAGCGGACATAGTGGCGATAGCGCTGGTGTACTTTGTGCAGGGCGTGCTGGGGCTTGCCCGCCTGGCTGTCAGCTTCTTTCTCAAGGACGAGTTTGGGCTCGACCCTGCTGAGGTGCGCATGTGCAGTTGTTGCTGATTTTTGAGTCGTCTCAAATATTGTGCAGGGCGTTCTGGGGCTCGCCCGCCTGGCTGTCAGCTTCTTTCTCAAGGATGAGTTCGGGCTCGACCCTGCTGAGGTATGCGTGTGCTGCTGCTGCTTCTGCTTCTGCTTCTGCTTCTGCTGCTGCCGCTGCTGCCGCTGCTGCTGCTGCTGCTGCTGCTGCTGCTGCTGCTGCTGCTGCTGCTGCTGCTGCTGCTGCTGCTGCTGCTGCTGCTGCTGCTGCTGCTGCTGCTGCTGCTGCTGCTGCTGCTGCTGCTGCTGCTCCTCGTGTCTCTTGCTCGTATCTTTTGCTCCCCATTTTCCTAGTATTTCATAAATAATTCTCTCCCCATCTCTCCCGTCGCCCCCTCTCTCACCCCATCTTACCCGTCTCCACCTTTCCCCCTTTTATCCGTCCCCCCTTCCCTGCAGACGGCGCTTCTGTCTGGGCTCTCAACACTGCCATGGCTCATCAAGCCTCTCTACGGCTTCCTCAGGTGGGTCATGCCACGGGCCCTGCGCCATGCCACGGGCCCTGCGCCATGCCACGGGCCCTGCGCCATGCCACGGGCCCTGCGCCATGCCACGGGCCCTGCGCCATGCCACGGGCCCTGCGCCATGCCACGGGCCCTGCGCCATGCCACGGGCCCTGCGCCATGCCACCTGCGCCATGCCACCTGCGCCATGCCACCTGCGCCATGCCACCTGCGCCATGCCACCTGCGCCATGCCACCTGCGCCATGCCACCTGCGCCATGCCACCTGCGCCATGCCACCTGCGCCTTGCCATCTGCGCCATGCCACCTGCGCCATGCCACCTGCGCCATGCCACCTGCGCCATGCCACCTGCGCCATGCCACCTGCGCCATGCCACCTGCGCCATGCCACCTGCGCCATGCCACCTGCGCCATGCCACCTGCGCCATGCCACCTGCGCCATGCCACCTGCGCCATGCCACCTGCGCCATGCCACGTGCGCCATGCCACCTGCGCCATGCCATCTGCGCCATGCCACCTGCACCATGCCATCTGCGCCATGCCACCTGCACCATGCCATCTGCGCCATGCCATCTGCACCATTGTTACCGCACCTTCCAACCACCACCTTCCAACCGCCACCTTTCTGCCCTGTTGCAAGTCTTTTCCCGCACACCACCACCACCTCACACATTCTCCTCCCCCTTCCTCCTCTAAATGCCCCTCAGTATCCATGATCTCTAAACGGTTTCCATCTCTCTCCTCCCTCTCCTTCTCATGCGTCCAGACCACCATTCCTCTTTCATTCATCCTCCTCTCGCAAACACTCCCTTTCTCTTCTCTTCATTCGCTCCCTTTCTCTTCTCCTCAGTCGCTCCCTTTTTCTTATCCTCAATCACTTCCTCTTTCCCACTCATTGCTTCTCCTCCCCCCTCACCTTCCAACCCCCACCTAGCGACACCCCCCCCCCTGTTCGGCTCGCGCCGCCGCTCCTACCTCATTCTCTGCGGCTTCGTGGGCGCCTCTGCATGGGCCCTCCTGGCCACGCTCGTGCACGACAAGTACTCCACCGCCGCAATAATCCTCCTCTCCTCGCTCTCTTGAACCAATCTCCTTCCCAATCGCTCCCTTTTCCATGCATTTCCTTCCCTCCCCCCCACCCTTCTCCCCTCCCCTCCCCTCCCCGCCCCTCCCCTCCCCTCCCCTCCCCTCACCCGTCCCTCACACCCACCAGTGACGGCTTCCCCCTGTTCGGTTCCCGCCGCCGCTCCTACCTCATTCTCTGCGGCTTCGTGGGTGCCTCTGCATGGGCCCTCCTCGCGACAATAGTCCACGACAAGTACTCCACCGTCGCCATGATCCTGCTCTCCTCGCTCTCGGTCGCCGTGTCTGATGTGGTGGTGGATTCGCTCGTGGTGGAGCGAGCCAGGGGCGAGGACCAGAGCATGGCTGGGTCGCTGCAGTCGCTCTGCTGGGGGTCCAGTGCGGTTGGAGGGATTGTGAGCGCGTATTGGAGCGGTAGCCTGGTGGAGATGTACGGCACGAGGTGAGTCAGTGGGGGTGAGCGGGGTGCGGTGAGTGAGGGGGTGATGGATGGGATGGGACGCGGTGAGTGTAAGGGTGAGTGGGGTGCTGCTGTGCAAGCAGTCTCTCATGTGCGCATGGGGGATTTCGAGAATTCTCAAGAGCAGTGTGAGTGAGCAGAGGTTCCTATATGTATGGGATCTTATCCAACGTTGTTGAGTCCAGTATCCCGCATCTCTCATTCCGTCAACTAGCTTTGCTGCACGCCCCTTCTGTTGCCGGCAGGTTTGTGTTTGCCGTGACTGCTGTTCTCCCCCTCATCACATCCATTGCGGGGATCTTCACAGTAGAAGACGATCACCACCAGCACCACCACCAGCACCATCAACACCACCAGCATCAACAACACCAAAGCCACCAGCTTACCTCCCTCTCCTCCCCTCCTCGCTCCTCCTCCCCTCCCTCCTCTTCCTCCAAAAGCTCCTCCCACTTCTTCCCCACGGACTCTGTTTCAGAGTCCGCTCCTCTCATTCCCCTCTCCACCCATGGTCTATCCGCCTCTCCTGCTTTCTCCTCCTCTTCTGCCTCCCCTCACCCCCCTCCATCCTCCTCCCATGGAGATGTATTGATTGAGCTTGGTCACATGAGTCAGAGTGAACGAGTGGGGGAGGGGAGAGTGGGGATGGGAGGGTTGGATGGAGGAAGGGACGTTGGGGAAGCGGTTAAGGAACGAGGTGGAGGGGGATCAAGGGGTTCGACAGATGGGGGTGCGGTGGGGATGGGTGAGAACAAGCAACAGATGCCCCTGCTGCGTCCGTATGCTTCAGCACCTTCTGATCCTACTGCAACCCATGATTCTCAACAGTCATACCATCACCATCAGCAGCAGCACCACCACCACCAGCACCCACTGCAGCAATTCTCAGTCAACTCCACACCGGCTATCAGCGAGTCGTGCGTTTACTCCTCCGCCTACCCTCCCAACTCTACCACTTCCCCCACTCCACCGACCAACCCAATCCCCCAGCAGCAGCACCACCACGCAGAGCACCATTCCACTGCAGAATCCCCCCTCATCTCCAACACTCCCACCCCTTCCTCCTCCTCCTCCTCTTCCTCCTCCTGCACCTCCTCCTCCCTCGCACCCTCCCACGCACACTCTCATGCATCATCCCCCATCCCAGCCATGGATGTGCGCGCACAGGCGTTATACCTATGGGCCACTATCCGGCAACCCAGCATCCTCATGCCCACGCTCTTCATCTTCCTCTGGCAGATAACGCCTTCCTCAGATACCGCCATGTTCTTCTTCACGTGAGTTGCTTGCGCCTGGATCTGCCTTGTCAGCGCCACCTGTGTCTGCCATGTCAGCGCCACCTGCCTGCCATGTCAGCTCGTTATGCAAGACTTTTTCGATCCCGCTCATCCAACTCTTACCCCCTCATCCCTCGTCATCGCCAGCACAAGCCAGCTGGGCTTTGGACCAGAGTTCCTAGGGCGGGTGCGGCTTGTACAATCAGTGGCGTCACTGCTTGAGGCGCCTCAAAAATCACCTTTCTCGCTCTCCTCCCCCAACCTGCCCCACATCCCTCATCATCACCAGCACAAACAAGCTGGGCTTTGGACCAGAGTTCCTAGGGCGGGTGCGGCTGGTGACATCAGTGGCGTCGCTGGTGGGTGTGGGCGTGTACAACTTCTGGCTCAAGCATGTGCCACTGCAGCGCATCTTCCTCTGGAGCAACCTGCTCGGCACTGCCCTCGGCTGCACGCAGGTGCGCGTGGTGTGCTGGGTCTGGGGGTAATGGCCGGAGGGGAGGAGTGGGGATCGGGTTTGGGGATTGGGAGCGGGGAAGCGGGAGGGAAGCGGGGAAGTGGGGAGACTGGTGGTGAGGTGGGAGGGGAGCGGGGGACAGGTGTTGTGGGTAGCAGAAGGGTTGGAGGGGGTTGAGGGGGTAGGAGGTCATTCTTTGTGCGGCTGGTGACATCAGTGGCGTTGCTGGTGGGCGTGGGTATGTGGGTGTACAATCTTTGTTTCAAGCACGTGCCACTGCAGCGCACCTTCATCTGGAGCAACCTGCTCGGTTCTGCCCGCAGCTGCACTCAGGTGCGCGCAGTGATGGGATAACGAGAGGGAGGAAAGGGGAGGTGGGAGGGAAGATTGCGAAAGTGTGAGAGAGGAGTGGGGAATGGGAGTGAAGAGAGGCGCATGAGAGAGTGAGAGTAGTGGGAAAGTTTGTTGGGATGGGGGGAAGGGTGAGATGGTTGGTGAAGGGCTGGGGAAGAGGATGAGGGGGAAAGACTTGCAGTGCTTCTGCTGGTCCTCTTGGAATGCCTCTCATTCTTCCACGCCCCTTGATTCTCATTCCTACTTCCACCTCTCATTACTGCCTATGTTCACATTTGTGTGTGTGTGTGTGTGTGTGTGTGTGTGTGTGTGTGTGTGTGTGTGTGTGTGTGTGTGTGTGTGTGTGCGTGCGAGTGTGTGTGCGTGTGTGTTTGTGTGTCTGTGTGTGTGTGTTTGTGTGTGTGTGTGTCTGCGTGCATGCGTGTGTGTGTGTGTGCGTGAGTGTGTGTGTGGGTGTGTGTGCATGGGTTTGTGCGTGTGTGCGTGAGTGTCTGAGGGCGGCAGTTGCTGCTGGTGACGGGAGTGAATCGCATGCTGGGCATCAGCGACCACTACTTTGCCCTGGGGGACAGCCTCATCCTCACTGTCCTCGGCCAGGTGCGTCAGGGTGCTTTTGAGTCGACTCAAAAGCAGACTCACTGTCCTCGGCCAGGTGCATGAGGGCCAATGCTTACATTGCGTGAGAGCTCATGCCCCTCAAGGGACTGGACTGGCTGGATGAGGTACGGGTAGGTGCTGTGGCAGGTTGTCTGGCAAGCACTATGGCAGGTGGTTGTGGCACAGGGCTATTGGGTGCTGCTGCCGGTGTGGTGGGAAGTTGTGTGTGCCTTTTTCGCGTGAATCTATCCAGCAGTCCTTTCCCACACTCTGTCAAAAGATCCTTGTTATTCCTACAGAAAAAAGTCCGTCCCATCCTTCTCTCTCCCTCCCCCCTCTGTCTGCCCCCCCACCCCACACCCACGGTCGGCCTCACCAGGTCTCCTTCATGCCCATCCTTGTGCTTGCGGCTCGTCTCTGCCCTCCTGGAATCGAGGCCACATTGTTTGCCGCCTTGATGTCAGTCAACAACGGGGCGTATGTTCTAAGCGGGTTGCTCGGGGCTGCTCTTACGGAGATGCTTGGAGTCACAAGCACGAATTTCCATAACCTTGCCTTGCTTGTTCTACTGTGCAATCTCTCGTCTCTGCTTGCGTTGCCGTTCCTGCGCTTGCTTCCCTCATTGGAAGAGGTGGAAGCGGCGGTGGCAAGGCTTCAAGAGGATATCGAAGCAGGAAAAGAAGCATGAAATCCAATAAATAAGCAGGTTCTACATATGTTATTATAATCTTCCTGTAAGGTTCTCCACTGCTTTATATCCCCCGTTCATACTTTACTAGAAATATATACCGTATGCTTTATCAATCGTTTCACCAAGGTGAAATGTCTGCATAGTAACTTTTGTGTTAATGTAAGGAATTTTCTCGGCATTCCTTACGGAGCCCGACTACATCGCGTACAGCAACAGCCGTTGTTCGCCCGTTACTGCTAACGGGGCTTCGCCGACTTCGCGCGCACTGTTTCACCAAACCTCGCACTGCTGGCCTGGCCGTGTCGGCCTACGCTTCGGGACTAGCCCGAGCCTCGTTTCCAGCGTAGCACTAGCTAGCTCGCACGCACCGCGTTACCGTTTGCATGTTTCGCGTATAAATGTTCGCTCATGCCTTCGCTCACATTTTGTACTCGTTTGACACCTTAGTGCAATTCTCGCTACTTCGATTCATTGCACCCGTAACACTTGGTATTCAGAGCCTCTTTCCTTTCGGACCGCGCATCTCCGCACCCCAGGAAATCAACTTTTGATTTTTCACTCGAAGGGACTCACGTACCTTAGCACCTAGGAGCCGCTGTCCTCGCGTTCTCTCGTAAACGCGTGCAGCCACGACTGCGCCTAGACTAAGATGAGCCGACGCCCTTCGAAATGGCTGAACATATCGACGTCACGACTCTCACGCAGGAGCACTTGAATGATCTGCTGCGACAAATCCGCGAGAGCGCCGAGGAAATCGCGACGCTGATGGCTGAACGCTCGTCCCTGCAAAACGACCTCACACGAGCACAATCCCAAGCACCTGGCACTCCGATTCAGCCCGCACCACAGACATCACAGCACGGAAGTGTGGGGCAACCCGCGAGCGCCGCAAGTGATGGCGTCGTCCGCCATGACGGAGACGACGACCACGGCACGACACACCCCGACGCGACGAATGCGGCCAGGACTCAGCCTCGAGTCACGATTTCAGTGCCGGCCGGCGAATCAACTCTTCCGTCGCCGATGCCGCTAAAGCCGCAGCGTCCGCCATGCTTTGACCCAAGTCAGCGGGGTGGTCCTACCGTTCAGGCGTGGCTCTTCACGTTGAACGTCTTCTTCGACGCGAACTACGTCTCGGAGGATACGGCGAAGATTCGCTACGCCGTGTCGTTGCTGCGAGGACCCGCCATGGACTGGTGGCGCGTCATCGTCACGAAGCCGGTGGACTACGCGACTCTACCGACACGGGAAAGACAAACCGGACCCTGGGCGCCGTCGTATTTCGTGGAGGTGCCCCAGTATTGCACGTGGGACGCGTGGTGCGCAGGTCTGCGCGCTCGTTTCGAGCCAATCGCGGCTTCGATCGCGGCGCGACAGAAGCTCCGCACTTGGCGCCAACTCGGTTCCGTCCAAGATTACACGAGCGGATTTCTGGCGCTATGCGAGCAGGTGGGATATATGCACGAGAGCGAGCGCATCGACCGCTACATCGGCGGCCTGAAGCAGGACATCGCTCAGGAAATCCAGCTTCGCGGCATCACCGACTTTCAAGAAATTCTCGCTATGGCGGAGAAACTTGACTTCTTCCGCCGACCGAGACCGGGGTCCTACGGAAGCAGCCATTGGGGACATCGGCCTCGTGGGACGAACGAGGGCGCCACGATACGTGCCGTCGCCGCAAATGCCGCTGCCGCACCGTTCAAAGGGCGCTGCTTTGCGTGCAATCGGCCGGGACATTGCAAGAGCGAATGCCCGGAAAACGCTAAGGGAAAGGGGGAAGCTGAGCAGCAGAAACAGACCAAGCAGCAGGGAAACGCTGGGAGTCAGTAGCAGACGGGCCCTCTACTGACAGGTCACGCCGCTCGCCCGACCCAACCGACCCTCACCGAGTGATTGTGCCGGTTCACGCAATCGACCACACTCGGCCGAATAAGGAGGGGACTACGGTAGACAGCCCCATACTGCTTAGTGGGAAAATCGGGACGGACTTAGTTAAAATCTTCGTAGACGGGGGAGCTAGCCACAGCCTTATCAACACTGCTACAGCACAAAAACTGCGACCGCCACTGGACAGATGTTTACCTGAGATCGACGCAAGATTGGTAGACGGAACGCCGCTGGCAATACGGGAACGCGTAGACCGGGTTCGGATTCGATGTGGGGGTAACTTCACGTTTAACCAGGAAATGCTCGCAACGACCCTCGACGGAACCGATATTTTACTCGGGCGTGATTGGCTGCGACGACACAATCCGCGAATCGACTGGACGACGGGTGACTGCACCGTGCGAGTGAACGGTAACAACATCGCCCTACCTCGCTGGGGCTCGCCTGAGTCTTTGTCGGTGCGTGTCAACGCGATCACGATGAAACGCGCCGTGGCGGCAGGAGCTGACGTGTACGCGGTCGACATTCGGGAAGCCGAGGCAGCAGACAAAGGAGGGGATTTACAGAAACTGCTGGCCGACGTACCGAGTGACCTGGCAGCACTGTTGAAGCAGTACAGCGACATTTTCCCAGACGATTTACCGACGGGACTGCCACCTCAGCGACCGCACGACCACATGATAGAGTTAGAACCGGGGGCACAGCCAACAGTACAGCGACAGTTCCAATTGACCCAGCCCGAACTGGACGAACTGAGGAAGCAGCTCGATTACCTGCTCGAGAAGGAGTTCATTCGCCCTAGTTCGTCGCCTTTCGCAGCACCGATACTGTTCACACCGAAAAAAGACGGGGGATTTTGCATGTGCATAGACTACAGAGCACTGAACAGAGTTACCATCAAATCCCGTTACCCCTTCCCGCGAGCCGACGAACTGATCGACCAACTGCGCACAGCCCGGGTTTTCTCGAAAATCGACCTTCGAGGGGGTTACCACCAGATTCGCGTCAACCCGCCCGACTGCCCTAAGACCGCATTTCGCACACGCTACGGATCCTCCGAATACACCGTCATGCCCTTCGGACTGACCAACGCCCCCGCCACTTTCCAAATGACCATGAACGAAGCTTTCCGCCCGCTCTTAGATAAGTGCGTCATAGTATACCTGGACGACATCCTGATTTACAGCCCTGACAAAGAACAGCACTTACAGGACATCGAAGCAGTTCTTGAGATACTGAGTGAGAACCGCCTACTAACAAAAAGCGTCTAAGTGTGAGTTTTTACAGGACCGCCTGGAGTTTTTGGGACACGTTATTTCAGCTACAGGAGTGGAAATAGACCCGAAGAAAATTGCGACGATTCAAGCATGGCACGCGCCGACCAACTTGACCGAGTTGCAGAGTTTTTTGGGGTTCGTCAACTACGTGCACCGGTTCGTCCCCGACATGGCGAAGCTGACTGCCCCGCTGATAGACCTGCTGAGGAAGGGGGTTGAGTATAAGTGGGGGGAGAAAGAGCAAGCTGCCTTCTCGGCCCTCAAAAACATTTTAGGCTCACCGCCCGTGCTGCACATCGCAGACCCACACCGTCCGTTCGAGCTCGTCACTGACGCAAGTGACATCGCTGTGGGAGCAGTACTGTTGCAGGATTTCGGGAACGGCCTCCAGCCAATCGCGTATGAGTCCTGCAAGCTGCACCCGCCCGAACGCAACTACCTGATACACGACCGCGAAATGTTGGCGATCGTGCACGCGTTCAAGGTTTGGCGGTGTTACCTGACTGGCGCCGACGTGACAGTACGGACAGACCACCGATCACTACAGTACTTACGCGCCCAACCGAATCTCAATCCACGACAGATTTGCTGGTTGGACTACCTCGAGTCCAACTTCCACTATACGGTTACGTACAAGAAAGGCGCATCCAACATCGCCGACGCACTCACCCGCCCTACCGCCCAACTCCACGCCATCCTACTCGCCCAGACCAACCCGCTTTTAACAGGCCTATTCACCCACGGATACCGCACCGACCCATTTTTCACGACTGGAAACTCACAGCAACTGGCAGAAGCTAAAGGATTTTATTACGTAAAAACAGGCACCAACCGCATCTGGGTACCCGCGTACTCACTACTGAGGGAGCTGCTACTACAGGAGGCACACGACGGAATTACCTCGGGACATTTTGGGGTAGAAAAAACGCGACAGCAACTGCAGCGGTATTACTACTGGCCGGAGCTGTTGACCGACGTGCAGCAGCACGTGGGCTCGTGCCCCACGTGTCAGGTGATGAAGAGCTCGAGGAAGCGGAAGGCGGGTCAATTGCAGCCGATACCACCGCCCGAGCGCGCCTGGCAGCAGGTCACCATGGACTTCGTCACAGGGTTACCTTCGAACCCTGGGGGTAACGACGCGGTGATGGTCGTCGTTGACAGGTTGACGAAGATGGCACACTTCGCTGCGTGCAAAAAGTCGATCTCAGCCGAGGAAACCGCTCGTCTGTTCATCGCAGCCGTTGTTCGCCTGCACGGGATACCAGCAGCAATTATCAGCGACAGGGACACGAAGTTCACCAGCAACTTCTGGAAGAACCTCTGGGAGCAGTTCGGGACCAGGCTACAGTTCAGTTCGTCGTACCACCCCGAGACCGACGGTCAAACGGAGCGGACGAATCAGACGATGGAGCAGTTGATTCGTGCCACGTGCGACGACCCCACGACCTGGGAGCAGCAGCTGCCGCTGATCGAGTTCGCGTACAATAATGCCACGTCAGCGACGACGCAGCAGTCCCCCTTCTACCTGAACTACGGGCAAAACCCTACAGTGCCCATGACGCCGAGTCCAGACAACCCAACACCACGTGCACAGCAATGTGAAAGTTTAAAAAGAAGAAGGAGGGTTGCACTAGCAAGAATGAGGATACAAATAGCAAACCCTAGAAGGGTTGTACTCGCTATAGAGCACCCCACTACAGGCTAGAGCATAATATTCTGACACACCCCCATAGCCAAAGTGGGGTGTAATCAGCAGAGCAAGCACAGCAGTACAAGCTCAGGGTGGATCACAATGTCACCACACATTATGAGCACAAGTTCAAGAAGCAATAG